ATATTAACTCCGGGAGCAAACTCCTGCAAGACGGTTACTGTAAACCAATTATTATACGCGTCATTTTTTATTCGCGATTGACCGTCAGAGAACTTATCCGCGACGATTTATTTCCGCGAACGAGTGGTCACATTTTTTTTTATTTCCACGAGTATTTTTTAATCAAATAAAAATTTAATATCCGCCCATAAACTATGTCAAATAGTAGCGTGAGGTCTGCTTACGCATTTTTCAAGACATTCTGTGCATTGCGTCCATTTAAAATCTTATATCCGCCCCAAAGTAGGTAAAATGTTTACCATGAGTATACTTCATACGCATTTTCACAACGCTCAAACGAAAATCGGGTAAAAATCTAGGAGAATAAAATTGATTTAAAACTCTCAATTGTAAAATGGTTTCATACTAATTGGGTAATCGACGCTTTCTAAGATATACACAGCCAAGGGGCTATAATTATAAATGGTTGGGACAGAGCAGGACATGGCCATAATTAGCCATAATTAACCAGGCTATCACTGACTCGTCTGTAACAATAAATGAACAATAATAACACAAGCTGAAATGATAATTGACATTTTAATAATTTTTAGACAAATAGTTTTAGATTTGCCATTCGTTTTTATTTTTTCTGAATGTTTGTAATTAAATTTCAACTGCTTCTTGTACACTAATTGTAAAGTTCTTCCGTGATTACTTGTTGAACCGTTGGGATCGGTATTGTAAAAAGGGCAAATAACTCTAAAATAAATCATGATATGGGAATATAATGAACAACTGAACTGGTTCGCGACGATAAATATCCGCGAGCAGAGGTTACTCGCGGAACTCGCGGATATTTATCGCACGCGTATAATACTTGGTTTACAGTATTTGATTGAAAGAAGGCCTGGGTATTGGCCTGAGATTTTGTATTGCGATATATTGCAATATTTTTAATGTATTGCAATAATTTCAATGTAATTGAAGTGGCATTTTCTTACTATATTTACTTTAATTAACATACAGAATGTACATCACTATGAAAGGTAACCAACACGGAAAAAATCTTATTGATTTCATTTAAGTTATATGCTCTGAAATGCTCCCACAAAACAACTTCTGTCTTATTGCTTGGCTAATAACAAATTTTCATAGGCCATTTTTATATTTAGTGACAAAATTATTCTTAATCTTAATATTGCCAATATATCGATAGTACAAAATCGTATTGCGATACGATATTTTTTGTCATTGTATCGCAATATATTGATAGATCGATATTTTTGCCCAGCCCTAATCGAAAGTAAAAAAGGAACGCAACGAAATTCCCTCTCTGATACATCTCTAGTACCTCGAGTTATCTCCCTTATTTTTATTGAGAGGATCTTGTCCTGTAGAAAAAAAAATTGTGTATTCTTCTAGATTTGTGAAAGCCCCAGAAGAATTATGCTTTTCATTTTTGTCAGAAAAACGTAATCGAGCTTTATTTTTGGACTAACTATATGTACACCGCATGGAAGCAAAATGTGCAAAAGTTAACGGCACCGGTGATTCAATGGTTACATGTGGTGGATGGTGGAGCGGATCCAGTGCGATGTTACATGTGTTCACTCTGTAACCTTTTCTAAAGATTCTAACCAAATGCAATGATTCAACTCGTTTTTTTTAAAATAAAAATAATGAATTAAACAAAATAATAAGCTGGTGGTCAAAAAGATGACAATGCCTGCAAAATTATATAATGATGTCAATCATTTCTCTTTTTTTCAAAAAGTAACCCATATGTAGATTCCATTCCCTAATCCGCTCCGATGAGAAAACGCTTTTTAATTGATTGATTGATTTATTGATTGTATATTGTTTAACGTCCATCTTGAGAATTTTTCACTCATATGGAGACGTCACCGTATGCCGGTGAAGGGCTTCAAATTTAGACCTATACTCGGCACTCAGGGCCTTTGAGCAGTGAGGGTTCTTTATCGTGCCAGCGCCTACCGTGACACAGGACCTACGTTTTTCAGGTCATATCCGAAAGACCCGTGACTTTCGCTTCTAATGCCGAGCGCTTGGCGAAGGAATAGTCACTGCCTATTTTTACGTCGTAGGTTTGACGCGGCGCCGGGAACGAGAATCGAACCCGGACGCTCTACCACTAGGCTACCGTGAACGCTTTTTAATTGTTTTCAGAGCTAGAAAATACCTAAGGAATCAAGGAATTGTATTAAATTGTGGTTTAATAATAAGTGTCAAGAAATTTTGAAAGGGGATATAAATTACATAAATTTATCGACTTTTTGGTATTGAACACTGTTTTCCAATTATTATATCAAAAAGAATATCAAATCTTTTTGTGTTATAAGATGTTTCAGTACCTTGGATGGATAAAGTATGATAAAAGACTCCAGACAACCTGTCTATATCAGATCAAATATGATTTTATATGAAAACTAAGATATCAAATCATTGCATATACTCATGTACATTGGCCAAACAAAAGTATGAAACACATAAACTATTTTTTCTGCCTGATAGTCATCTAATTAGTTTAAAAAAAAAGTTGAGATGTGTGTGATATGTCTACAACTTTTACATTATTTCACTGTCTTTTGAAATTATCAGAATCTTTTCCACAATCCTCTAACACTGAGACGCCTTACCTTATCCTCCTTTCATGAATAAAATGTATGTAAAACAGTTTGTCATTTGTTGCCTTTTTTGTGACGTTTGATAATTTCTTTGACATTCTGATATTATTATTAACGACAACATTAATTTGACTTATATACATAATCCATATTCCTAGTATTTGCAGCCCGGAGGACTGGGTTTCTCTATACATATAAGTTATAGTTTTAGTGAATGGAAATTGAACCGGGAGGAGAAATTCAGCATCAAAGGTTTACTACATACATAAAAGATTCTACATCAGAATGTCCATCCATAGAGCGCATTTTAAGAAATATATGTTTTTCTTACTTATCTATATAAATTTGCTTATATTTTCTGTTGAAAAAACGGCAGGTCCCCGTTTAAGAATATATATTCTTTTCCTTATCACACCAAAATGTACGTTACACAGTTAGTGTTTACAATTATGTAGTCAAAAGCATTTTTTGAAAAAAAAAGATATACATGGGTTTGATTCTTTTTAATATTTTATGCAACCAACAATTAATTTAGGAATAAATAAATTTAAAAGGGTATCGTTTTTGTTCAATTCTCATCAAACTAAGAAGCGTTTTAAATCTTCTGTACTGTCGTCTCAATCAGATGCATGTCTTTATCAAGCATATTGAGGCGTATTTATGACCATGACTCATTCCCATTGTTTATTTTAATTATTTCTCGGTCAACAATTGATGAGTACATCAATGTTGTCTTGTTACAAGTTAAAAATAATACAAAAATCATGAAAATGGGTTTAAAAAGGTTGAAATAAAAAAAAAATAAAAATATTTGGCAGCGATGGTTCGGATAGAGAAAAATAACATCCGTCCGCCAAAGTTGTAGGTGGGAGAAGAGGTAGAGTGACACTCCGCAAGTAAACAAATTTTTTATTTCTTAGTTTTTGATCGGTCAATATCTGTCTCTCCAAAGTCATGATGCAAACTGAGCATTATAACTCAATATTTCAGATTTTAACATTAAAGGAGGACAATTACTGATTACAATAAGTAAACTTAAGTTCATTTAAATCTTTTAATAAATTTAAAAGTCACGAATTTATAGGATACTACCAACTTCCGACTTTTCATTGGGTTAAACAAAGAAATCAATCATGAATTTAAAATTGAAGGATTTATTATGAATCAAATTGTTTTCAAATGTTGATTAAAATTATACCTGTTTACTTTCTTTGTTACTCGTCAGTTTGACAATTTTTCTTTATCTATACCTATTGGATGAACGAGGTGGAAAAGAATTTGTTTATTTGATATAGATCATTAACATGCAGAAAAACATAAAAATAAGTAATCAGCTGCATATTATTGGTTTATATTAAAAAAAAATTGTCCAAGGGAATATACAGTGTATATGCATATGAAATCTAACGTTTGTAAGTTTGGTGAAAACAGTCCTCCCCCACCTTGGCACTTTTCATTGAATCTTAATAAACCTACCCTATAAAACGACAACTAGAAGGAACTTTTTAACCTCAATATATTTTCAATAATTTTCTCGCTAGAGAACCAAAACTATTTCTTTGTATAATTATTATCCCATCCAAATTTTCATTACACATGTATGTTTCATCGTATACAACAAGAAATGTTACTACATGTATCAGTTTTCACAACAATCTGCTTTTTTTAAATGAAATATTTTTTTTCAAGCGTGCCCCAATTCAAACCACTAAACTGAATCTAGTAACAAAACTTGATTTATACTAACAAAACGGATCAATATAGAGACGTGTGTATCTTAGGATGCTTTTTTTTAATTGCGTTTTCAAATTTCTCAAAGAAAGTGAAATAATTAGAGGAGTAAAACATTCCCATTAAAAAGGTAATTTTAGTTGTGCTCTCTATGTTCTTTAGTTCGTCATAATCTTGGCAGAAAATAACTCTTCAGAGCTGAGTCTGATCTTGCTTTACCCGATTTTTTTTTATATTTTTCCCAAATAAATGAGTAGTAATTGACAGACTGTTTTGACCAAGCAAGCGGAAAAAACATCCAAAAAATAATGATAGCTGATTATGAATTTTGCCTTAAAGGATCTATGCTATGTATTAGATATCGGTTTCAGCATTGAGAGCATTTTTGTTATAAAAGTTATGTGTCTTGTTAATGTTTTGTTTTAATTTCAACTGATTTGTTTATTAGTATTTGCGCAAACATTTATATGATATATGCATTTTTCCTCTGAAATAAGTATTTTATTTTTGTCAAAGATTTGTTTAAGCATTATCATTGAGGAAATGGTTGTATATTTATAGTCATATTAAGATCATGAGATTCTTTTCACTTCGGTGTGCACCATACAAAGATCGTCGGGTATTTAAAAATAAGGTGAATCCAAGGACGCCATTAAATATTTATATGGGAAACACCTAACTGTTTGATGATGGAAAACATATGTAAAGGATATATTTAGAGACGTAGAGAGAAGCATTACTGTGGTAAATAGATAACAAGAAAAACATTTTAAAATAATTTTCTCTGAGAATATGAATTTTAAAAGATAAACAAAAATTTAGTTTCGTTTTAACATTCATTGCATATACACACATAGTAGAAGGTAATAAAAATTAGATAAAGCATAATTTGACTCTTGTAACAAAAATAGTGATCGCTGCTTATTGAAACTTTTGTTGTAATAATAGCGATAGAATTATGACTTATGAAATGAAATGATTGAACTTGAAATGAGATTGAAATGATTGTTAAAATAGCAATAAGGGGGGGGGGGGAGGGGGCACGGGGCACTGCAACACAGATTGTCCGACTGCTTATTAAGAAATATTCGCTAGGGTTTACGTAAAAGTGTACATTGTTCAATTACAAAGATAAGTTGTTGTGTGTAACTTCTATTCAGAATAATATGTATTTCATCATAGTTTTAGTGTCGAACCTCATCTCAATGTATCTTAAATACATATCTCCTTTTGGAATCAGGGCATTCTGACAAAAATTACATGCTGCATTAATTTTTAATCTTAGTGATATAACGGTACGTGTTTATGGGTTTTTTTTTAACCCCCCCCCTCTCTCTCTCTCTCTCTCTCTCTCTCTCTCTCTCTCTCTCTTCACTAGGTTATAAAGAAAATTAGACAAGGAATTCATTAATGTTATATCAAATACATAATAATTCATAGTAGAGATTAAAACTGTTATCTACTAATTACATCACAAATGTATTAATTACAAGAATTGATCGATCTAAAAAAATATATAAACACATTTACAAATTATGTAGTAGGCATAAAATACAGACCCTTTTTGGAAGTTCAGGGATGGGATTAGGTGGCTTCTAGAAGTGAATACCCTCTTTTGACTGCTCACACATGCTCCGCACACTGCATATGCGTATTGAAAAGGCCGAAGAAAACAAACTGTTGTGAAATTGAGAAAAAAATAACAATATGAATGCAAATTCATAAAGATACTTATATAACCCATATTTCTGTACATTTTACGTTTTAAACTATAGATTAGTTTGTAGCTCTTATAACAGCTATGGACAAGATAGTCGACAATTGTCCCCAAAACCTGACAGAGACATTGGAAGCCTCTACACGACTTGGCTGTGGTCGTGACAAGTATGGAAATGATCAGTATATGTGTCTCCCTAACTTAAAGACAACGAGTCTGGTAGAATTCTGTCACGATGGTATCATGGGCTTTATAGAAAGAGGTGAGTGTGATTTCTTAGGAAATCCTGTTAATTAAGCTACACTTAAGTATCGCCGAGACAAAATATTGTCCACGGGCTTACAAATGTATGCCCGTGTTACTCTCTTCAATTCAACCGATTTAAAATGTATTTTTTAATAAATAGGAATAAATTTAAACAGTGGCGGAATAAAACGGATGCAAGGTTGCAAAAGTTTTCTTGTTTAAAGTAAGAATATTTTACCTCATAAACTGTTGAGCGATATTCAATAAGGGCCTTTATAAAAAAATCCGATTTTCTTATTTTTAGTTGATAATGCAGTAATTATTCCGTAGATCCTTGGTGACTCTAAACATCTATGTATTGACAATGGCATAATTTCCTCACTAATCAATGTACCATTTTCAATATTTTTTTTACAAAAATTATTGGCATTTGCAAATATCACTTACAAATCCTGAAACTCACTCATTTATTTTGAAATGACCGCAAATTTTATTTTCCTGTATTTCGTATAAATTACATGTAAAACCTACGATCCAAAAAGTTCAGTTATAGAATAATTGATTATAAAGCAAGTTCTATATCTTCGATCAGAGAGTGTGGTAGTGTTTTATTTCTTAGCTGAACGCGTACCCAAAATCACATCTGCATATTTTTAGTTATTACTTTTTGACATGTTGTTTCCAATCTTTGGACTCTTAGATCGAACTTTAAAATGAGAACTGAAAGTAGTATATGAGTTGCGTCAAGCGAAAAGGGACCTTCGTGACATAAACGTAATTACGTCACAATAGCGCTTCAAAGACGTGACGTTTCGCCAGTGCGTTTGCCGATAAAAAAAATGATACGATAAAGCAAAACAAAAATATGTTCGCGTAATACATATTTTTTTTTTTAGATATACACGCCTAAAATTTTCCAAAAAAAAATGTACAATTTCGTCAATTTATAGATTTACTGGTAATTTTTCCAAATTAATTTATAAACAATTTGAATTTTTTATTGATTATGAATGGTTTTATTCGTGAGCTGTCAAACATTTTCATCAACAAATCAATGTACGTGCCCACCTGAAGTCCTGAATCAATCGCTTCTTTGGCCTTTCCGGCTGAGCTCCAGTTTCTACAGATAAGCAAGTGGTTCCTGCATTTATTTCAATGTTTTTTGTTTGTTTGTTTGTTTGTTTTTGTTTTTTTTTTTTGGGGGGGGGGGTTACATGTAACATTCCAGATTGTTTCTCCGTTAGACAGAAAGGCCCGAGAATTGGCGACTCAGTGTCCAAAGTTTGTCATCAGATATTAAATATTAGAATCAAGTCCACTGATTCTAGTTTAGTTGCAATAGCATTGTTTCAAGGCATATTACATAAAAAAAATATGAACGCAGCAGCTAGGAACCTTTGTCTTTAGCCATGTCTTAAAGGATGAAGGGACGTAAGACATACGGTCTTTAACACATCACCTTTGGTACAACACTCTGAGGTTTGAAAACTGCATGACGCCATAAAATGTGAAGATAATGCACAGTGGTCATTTTCAAAACTAATTTTGGTCTTGTTTTCATTGCCTTAATTAATTTCAATAAATTAAAACCAAACACGGTACCTTTAGGTATAAAGCTGATGTTGTTAAAGTCGAAAATGAAGATCGAAATGCGTCATGTAAAATCAGACGCATGTAGGCCGATAGCTTAAGTTTCTGATGACTAATTTTATTTCAAGCAAAAAGAGTAGTTCCGGACAAAAAATATGAGCACATCTTGAGTTTATGATCTTGCATAATATTGTAATTGAATGGCTTAGTTCCCCCCTCCCCCCTTATTTTTGAAGATAAATTGTAAACGTAACTTTTTCATTAACTTTCAGCACTGCTTAACTTTCCATTTATTAAAACTATTTTTTTCTCTCCTAAATGATTTCACACAACGAACATGTGTGTGCTAAATGTTTGTTTTATTACTACGGAAACGGAAGCCTTTCAATGATGAATTCCGATTTTTTATTTTTTCATTCTCTTTTAATTTTTTAAATTATTTTATTTTTCGTTTCGATTTTGCTTGTTCATTTTCTTTTTTATGTATTTATTTTGTTATTAATTTCTTTCTTAGTTCGACCGTAACCACTTTGAACATACACCATACCCCCATTCCCCCCCCCCCCTCTTCTTCTAAAAAACACCGCTCCTATATTTGATCAATGAATGATGTACCGGATCATTATCTTGAAATTCACATCATCAGTAAAGTTCGTAATTTTTTTTCAATCCTCGATAGTTCCGTATTCTTTCTGAATTATAGATGGTAATTTAATATTTGGGAAGCTGTGCACCCCCTTTGTTAGTTTTTTCGAACAACTATCTCAATTTTCCTTGCAATTGTAAAATCAATTCTTATATTCATGAACTCTTATTTTTATGAACTCCTAACAATAGTGTCTGATCATTCCCTTTTTTTAATCTCTGAATAATAACCTTTTATAAAGCCCTTTCCCACAAATGAAGTTGCTTTCTATACCTGTCTGTTTACTGCATATGATTGAATTTTTTTTTGAATCGGAAATGAAAGAAATTTCGACATTTTTATTTTAAGAATTACCCACCCTATAAGAATGAAAAGTGAGGATTTTTAAAAGTTTTTTTTTAAATAATATTCTTCAATCATCATTAATTTGTGATTTTATTTGTTTTTTAATCTTATTTATTTATTTACTATTATTATTTTCTTTTTTTTTTTTTTTTGGGGGGGGGGGGGGTATGGCGTACACATATCACTCGGAGCTCTTCGGATGGCTTGTATATACCTGTTAGAATGAAGTGTAGCGGAGCAAGCCTAGGATTACTGACTACATGCACATATCCATAATGAGATCTATCTATAAAAAAGTACAAAAAGCAAATAATTGAAACTTTTGCTTACAATCACATGCTGAGAATAAATTTTAGGAAATTTCTACCGATGACAGCGTGTTTATTGTTTGGATTTTCGGCGGGTGAGGCTCATTTCACACAGTCTAAAAATATATTGTCTGATTGTCTTGTTCTAATGAACACTGAATATAATTTTAACTGATTTTTAGTTTACATGTATGTAAATATGTATATGTAAATCCGGGACCCTTGATTTGGTCAATAAAATATTGCATGAAACAAAATACCAACTTAGAGAATAGGTGGCACATAAGAAAAGCTTAAAAACATGTCAATTAAAAGTTAACTATTTTATCATACTCTGAAAGTCGAATTTAAAGTCTGACTTTGAATTAATTGTGTTGCATCAAGCCTAGATAATTATATAATACGTAACCGAGGTTTTTTTTATCGGTATATTTAAGTGCAGAACAAATTAAACCCCTTAATATTTTTAGCATGTGAATTTAAAAAAAGAAAACGTTTTTCTTTTAACATTGTACAACACACAATATTTTATCTTTATCAAATTGTACAACTGTAAGCACTGAAGTAATGTGCCTTAGTTCCAAGCACAACGTGCCGGGCTCTTTTCAAAGAAGACCTCCCCCTCCCCGCCAATGTACAAAAACTTTTATTTCTTTCACTAATATACATGTATAGTTTAAAAGTAAAAAAAAATTGATACTGTGTGTGAACCGGTTTATTTAATTTAGTTTTATAGCAGTCATACAGACAAGAACCATCTTGAAGGGGGGGGGGGTAAAACACGTTTATTCTATTTTGAATTGGGAGATTTTCCGCATTTCAATATAATTTTCAATTGAAATAAAATAGATTGGAATCCTTTTTGAAAGAAGTGTGAAATAATTAATATGCAAATGATTAAAATGCCTTAAAGTTGCTCTCTAACCACTCCCTAAATTTAGTTCAGGGAAGTACCATAAAAAATACATGTGGGCACTGCCTAAGGGTTAGTTATTGTGGAGATATTATACCGAAAGGGAAATAACATTTTCTTTGACAGGGATCAATCCTTAAGACCTTACTACATGAACAGTGATGTCAGATATTCTTTTACACCCCTTTGCGAGCAATCGTAATTACTCGGTCAATACCGTGAATAATAAATAATTTCTCTTGGAAAATGGCCGTGTTTTTACGAATGCCTTGCGATATTATTTCAAAGTAGGAACTTTTTCGGTTTTTTATGGTCAGCAGTATGTCCCTTGTCAAGGATCCATTCAAATACAAATTTTGATGATGAAGAAAAAAAAAGGTTGAGATGATGTCGTTGAATATACAGTCATTTGGCCAGTTCCGAATTTTGTATTCCTTGAGAATTAACTCCTCGTATACGAATATAAATGCTAAAATTTGGAAAAATAGATATTGAAGAAACTAAAAAATACATCTAGAAAAAAATCATTCCTACATATGTAATAAATACAAAAGGGTGATAAGTAATGACGTTTCAATTATCAATGACGTGTGACGTTATGGAACGTTTTATAGCGTTATCTTGTTACAGTTAGCATTGCATTGATTTCATATTGCGTTTTAAATAGAATTCAAAGGGTAAATAATTAAAAATTTGGTATCAAAATATTCAGAATAACTAGCTCTTTCAGAATTTGTAAAAAACCGATTTTCGAAAATTTTGTCACGAAGGTCCCTTTTCGCTTGACGCAACTCAATATATTTAATCCATATTGATGTTTGCATCTTACAAATTTATTGAGAGTGCTATAAACATATATGTATATGTTTATTTTTTCCAACAGTCATTTAATTTTAGCATATATAGTTAAACTTGCTCTTTCAGGAAGCAAAATCTATGTCAGTGCTTGACAAGGATTAGAGTATATCCTGATATTAATTCGTCAAGCATTTACTTCTATTAACTTTTAATACTTTTCAGGTAATTGTTTGAAAACTGCAGAGAGTAAAATTTTTACAAACAAATGTTCCAATTTTGTTTCGGGCTGTCCAGATGTAGACTTCCGCAGTAACGAAATCTACAATTGTAAGGACAATTTTCTTTAAAATATTCTATATACTGACATCGTTACACTTATCAAAATATTACTTTGATATTTGATTTATTATTTTTTTTTGATTGACATCAGATCCTGCTTGCCAAAACATTAGTACAGGACATCGTTGTTATCTTGCCGATCCATATTGTGCAAATGTGTAAGTAATAGTGCATTTATTGATTAAATTAAGAATCAGTCGGCATGTAGTAAGGAGTTCCTAACAAACTTATTTTTTCCCGAATAGCACGTTGAATATATCTACTGAAGAAACAACGGGAATATTTATCTCCAAGTTTATTACAAATCGTGTGATATACAACACCACAGCAATGAATATTCATACTATCAAATTCCAAGAGGATGACTCAGCACATATCTGGGCAATCATGGGAAGTCTTATTGCTGTATTGGGTCTTATACTGCTGTTGGTAATTTTGAAGGCCATGTTGAAGAGATTGCGTAGACAGAGAAGAAAAGAAAAAAACGGATTTATGTGTATGTCGTTCCTTTAATTCTTAAATTCATGCAAGAGTTTATTGGTCAGTCTGAGAAATGACATTCTTTAAAGGATCATCAATATATTAATGCTTGAAAATGTAGTAATAACTACTGATTATTGATATCATTTCTATATTTAAGCTGAAAAAGAAAACTTGTTGACAGAAACAGAGAAAAAAGTTGTCGAAGGTAATTTGAAAACGTTAATAGTTCTTTAATATCAATTCTCTATAAAAATAAAAATTTTAAATGGGGTCGTGGACATGACATATCTCCGATGTAGCTGAAATTCACGCCATTTACTACAATTGGTATGTCTTTCATAAATATGATGTTAAAGTCTAACTTTTCAATTTGGTTGCCATGGAAACAGGGATGTTATATTTAGAACCCTCTGATTAAACAAATTTTGCTCTGTTTTAAATTAAATTTGTGCACAGTCAATTAATTAGTAAAAATTCACGTGAAAATTACATTATGTGAGCTCATATTACTTAAATCTGAGAAATTAATTTCATTCAAAGATATTTGAATGAAGATTAAGCGAATTTTCATTGCAGCATTAAGGCTGTTAGCAAATTGGAAATTTGCCAAAATTGACTTTTTTAGTCATATTCAATGAAATTTTTCACCATTTTGACAACTGATATATTTGTAACCATGTATCATTAAATAAACTATTTATTCTAAGGTTTTATGAGAATTAAAAAAAAAATAATGGGTAAATCAAAAACTTTCTAGAAATTATTGCATGAAAATTGGCAATTTGCCAAAATTTCCTTATTTGTCATATTCATTGAAATTGTTCACCATTTTGACAACCGATATATTTGTAACCATGTATCATTAAATAAACTTTATATTCTAATGTTTTGTGAGAATAAAGAAAATTAATAAATTAACGAGGTTGGGGGGTGGCAGCCATTTTCAGACTATTTCGATCTCCTTTAAAAGAAAAGCCTCATATAAAGATATGAAAAATGATAAACTTTTGAAACTAAAATGTAGGAAATTTTCCTTTGCCAAATAATAGATGACAGCTTAATATACCATATCTTATTAAGGAGGTAATTCTGGTGGTTAATTTTTGGTTTATTTGTTTAACCCCCCCCCCCCCCCCCAGCCTCCTTACTGGGTAAATGTACAGCTTTCTAGAAATTATTGCATGAATGACGCCACCCCCACCCCCTCAATTAATCACAAATAACAGAGAAGATCATCTAAGAACATGTTTTGCCAAACTGAACAAATTGTTATGTAGTATGAATATATGTCAAGTTTTTAAATTTCTTTTCAATGATTAAATAAAACTTCTGAAATTAACGCAGTGACGGGTTAATTAAAATGTTGCCATGGAAACAAATCAGGCTTCTAGTTTTTTTTTAATCTAAATATGAAATAAAACAAGTGAGTTTCCAAAAATTCTTACAAATCTTTTAATGGCCTGTAACTGTGTCCAATCCTTTTGATTTATTCACTAAAATATGTTCAAATTCAAAACAATTGCTTTATGGTTAATTTTTAAAAAATATATAATTAAAGTAAAAAGGCAAACTCATATTTAATAAATGATATGAAAGTATTTTATGAAAATATGAAAGTAGGTCAGACAGTATAATGTCAAAACAAGTTGGCAAGACCATCTTGATTATAATGTTTGTTTACCTCTCCCAACTCAGGGTAAAATTATTAAGTCGCCTCGGTAGGTAGGTTGTAAAATCTTTTTTCCCAGGAAATTTCATAATATTTGTTGACGAGTTAAGATGGATAAAAAAAACCCTCCTGTCTTGCAATGTAAAAAAAAGTTTTGAATTTTAGTTAGTCTGTTGGGGGAAGTCAGCCAAATTTCTTTAAATGACCTTATATGCTAAATATTGTGGAATCAATTTTTATTACCACATTGCTTATCAGCATATTCAGATGATCAGTTACATGTATACTATGTTCCTTTAATGGGTATAAATATGTTTAACCATTTGACCTTGACCTTAGACATGGACCGACTTAAAAAAACTCAAACCTTAACCACAACTTTTGAAGTTGGACTAGATTTTCATAATTCACATGTGTTTTACTTGTGGCCAGACCTTTCTTGGGATACCTTGTGGGAGTCTTGACACAAGCTGCAATGCATGGGGGAATCAATGTTTCACAATTAATCTTGTTCTCAGTTTTGTTAAAATGTATTCATATATATTTTAATCATACATGACATACTATGTGAAGCCTGCCAATAAAAAACTCTAAATTTGTGACCCCATGTTGGGGGTATATAATAAATCAGTATACCACCTCTCCTGCAGAGTGGGGATATAAAAAGGGAAGAAACTGCTTCTTTGCATAAAACTGCTTTTATAGAAAAAAATAAACAAGACATTAATTGGAATGTATGCTTCACTTAAACAGTGACATTTTGTTGAAAATACAAGAAATCAATTTAGAATACACATATTCTCTAAGGAAAACAGATGCCCTACTTAAAAAAAAAATTCCTAAAATTTGGTCCTTCATATTCTCTCATTTGATGTCAGCTTGGTTTCCTCGTATTCACAATTCTTTATGTCATTTTGTGTAAGTAAACTTTTGAAAAGTAGCTCAGCCTTGCAATATTAATTTGCTGTGGGTTTTAGTAATGATCATTAGAAAACCCTCTCTATGTCCATCTTGCACCAGTGGCGACTTTTACTGGATCCTCTTTTCTTTGTTATTTTTCCTTCTTTGTATTTTTCATGTAAAATTTACTTCCAGTCCACTGTGAATTTTTTTTTTTTTTTTGGGGGGGGGGGGGGGGCTGTATGTCCTCTGCTCTGGTCATTTCTATCTGTTCACATGAAAAAAAAATAACATTAATTTTTGGTCACGTTAGATAAGAATTCATTTAAAATTTGTTTCAAAAACTTAAAACTGGAATCTTAAAATTCTGATATATATAAAACATATACATTTTCAACCTATAAACATTATCATCTCCCTTTATGCATTGTTGTGGCAATCATGTCTTAAGTCATTATGAATCCATGCAACTAAATACACAATACATGTAGCTGTGTGGTCTCCTTGCTAGAGATCTGTAATCCTGAGAATCTTCATTAGGAAAATCTTGCAAGGGCTGCAATGATCAATTTGAAATTATTTTTTAATTTGAAAGTTTGGGTTTAAATCCTAAACATCATATATATATTACATGTACCTAATATTTACATGTTATCCTGAAAAATTTCTGAATCAAGAGGAATGATTGATAATGGAGTGTATTTAATGTCGTCATCAAGCATTTTTTTTTTCAATTTACATATAAAGCTTTTCAGTTTTTGCCTGAGATATAGAGACTAACAGTAGAAATGAATTTGACAACAATTAATTTCTAAAGTGGAAAATGAAATGTATTTATATCATAAATTAATTGTAATAAAAACATACATGTTTTATGGATACTAACGTAATGTGGTATAATTTATTTTGTTCTTTAATGCAACTATTTTTAATTTGTACAATATGTCCTTGACATGTAAAGTACACAGCATCAGAATGATCTCATCTGTACAGATCAATATTGTCAAACTAAAACTATTCATATTTAAAATGTGTGCAAGATTGATATACCTGCAATATATAGCTGAAAAAAGTGATCAGTAAAATTAAAATTATGAGACAGAAAGCTGCATCTTGGAAAGTACAAATGGAGTTGTCATATTCTAACACCCTTGGATAGATTTCTTTACCTACTTTATAATACATCACCCTGCAGACTTCATTGTATCAAGGTCCCAAAAATGATTTCACAATAGTATGATAAAGTACTTATGTACAATGTACTTAGATCTAGAACACTATTAGCATCTGTAAATCGATCTGTCTGTCTGCATGTACTTTCATAATTTTACACTTACAATTTTTTAATCAATTCTTTAAAATATTCTACAGTCCTGATATTGCTTAAAATTAAAAAAAATCTAACACACTAATGCCTATTCAGTTATCATTGTCAGAGGTCAAAGGTTTAATATTTCCGAGGTATGATTTCTACAAATCCTGTTTGTAAAAAATAGATTGGACACTGTGACACAAGCATATTATCATTTGGAAAAATAAATTCATACAAAAAATTTTCAACAAATATACTGAATTTTATAGAAAATAAAATACCAGTACCCAAAACGGGCACAAATATTGCACAGAAGTATTTGATTCAATGTCATGTACATGTAATATGTGCAACTGTGCTTCCAAGTTTTCATGGTTTTGTTTGTTTTTATTGTCTTATATTTCATTATACAGTCCGTTACCTAATCCGAGATTCCTCTGACTCTAACCCCCGCTTTTATATTGTGACTTGTGCGCACAAGTCACAATATAAAAGCGGGGGTTAGAGTCAGAGGAATCTTGGATTATCAGTTACCATGCAGGTACATGTGACACCAGTAGAATTATGAATAAAAAAATACTTACACATTGTAATCGGGATCGGTCGGGGACAACCACACCACTACATTTATCTCTCGATCTCTATTTCAAAGACATCTTGAAGGGAACAGCTAAAATCCTCTCGGCCTTCGCCTCCATGCGCAGGTAGGTTAAGGTTACAACCAAATATTCTACTTGCCTATATGATATGACGTCATAGTCAGCTATATCACGTGACGTTTAGAGATAACAATTTCTT